TATATTTATTATGTATATATAAATACACACACATGCACGTATATAATTCAGAAAAATTTTGTTTATATATTAAATATATTTATTTCTAATATAAATTATATGAATATAAATATAAATATAGACACGTAAATATTTTCAAAATATATACTGTATGTGTGTGTATTTATATATTCATAATATATATACACAGAACACATGCATATATTATGCAAACCAAAACTTTTATTTTGTATGCGATTAATCGTGATTAATCGTTTGACAGCACTACTTAAGATATTATGTCTTGTTTTCTAGAAAAATCCAAATTTTGTCCATTTTTGCTTAAAACAAGTAAAATATCTGCCAATGGGGTAAGAAAAATAATCTTGTTTAGCCTTCGAATTAAGATTATTTTTCTTACCCCACTGGCAGATATTGTACTCGTTTTAAGTAAAAACTAACAAAATTTGGATAATGTTTTCAGAAAACAAGACATAATATCTTAAGTCATTTTACATGTCATGCATCAGTAAATGCATCCTGATTCAAGAATTTCTAGATATCTACAAGACAAAAATACTAAGGAAGAAAATCGTTTGTTTGCAGTGTATGCTACAGTGATGTGTGTTAATGTTGTCATTCTCTCTCTCTCTCTCTCTCTCAGAGAAGAACAACAGATGAATGTTATTTCCTCGAGCGCCTGGAGTCAAACAACTACAACACGTACCGATCCCGCAAGTATCCCGACTGGTACGTGGCTCTGAAGAGAACAGGCCAGTATAAAGCGGGTTCGAAGACCGGCCCGGGCCAGAAGGCCATTCTGTTTCTGCCCATGACAGCCAAGTGCTGATGGAGAGATGCGGTCAAACACAGAGCGAGACGACAGACCACTGACGCAGACGCACTTCTAACCAACCTTACGCCAAGTCACGGAAAAAACGCTTCTATCTAGGAACGCTTCCCAAACAGATTCACTTAGAGAGCATTACAGGGTTTATTTGTTCGTGTTCAGTCACCCTGGAGATATCAGCAATATCCGCAGAAGACCATCTCAGATCCAACTTTCCACAATACTCTATTATTCCACTGTATTCCTTCGAGCAAGGGCAGCAGGGTTGGCTCGGCGAGTTCACTGATCTGCACTATACGCTCTTGAATTCATGACTGCATTTCTCACAGGAGTGTTTTTAGTACGGCTACAAAATGTGAGTTTACTTTAATGCTGCTCCTTTATGCAAAAGGCTCGCAAGTATTTCTATACTGTATTTTAGAGAAAGAAAGGGATTTGCAAATGCAAAGGTTTGCTTTGATGAAGGGATTCCGAGTACATCATGAATGTTTTTTTTTTTTTGTAAAACTTTATTCTCTTTTTCATATATATATATCATCTTGCCTGAGAAAAATAGTTTAGTTACATAATTGCTGCGAGTAACAGTAAGATTAACAGTAACAGTCTATCTTTTTTTTTTTTTGAGGTAACTTTGAGAAATCAGAAACTGAAGAGTTTAAAACCTGTAAAACCTCCAGGCAGATTAGGCGAGGTATCGTATTATAAAGTGCAGAAACTAAAACTGGTCCATCTGCAACACGCTCTTGAAAATAAAGGCTCTTCAACAAAGAACCGTTTTGCCATTTAATCAGTTTTTTAAAATACTCCATTCATTACAGCACTTAAAAAAAAATTCTGGTGTGAATCTCATGAAGAAGTTATGCGTAAAATAAAGAAAATTAAGTGTATTTTCAGAGCCAGGTTTTTCTTCTTAGTGCCATTATTGTGAGAAATGTCCAATAATTATAAATACTATCGTGATAAATATTTAATTCAAAAGTACTTTATAATATATATAAATAACATTTTATATGTATTTTATTATTATATTTTTTGCATGTCACAGTAAGTTACTTAGAAATGCAAAAACTAGGCTTCATTTTCATTATTCAAGACATTTTTGTTTTGATTTTTGGGTAAAATAAGACCCAAATATTTCTAAGATATGTATTTTAAAGATAGGGTCTTCATGAGATTTAAAGCATTTTCGGTTCTAATTGCGACCTTTATTTTGAAGAGTGCATTGCAAAAAAAAAATTATTTTTCTTTTTTTGTTGTTATTTCTTTTTTTTTTTAAATCAGGACACATTTAGAGATGCATAATGACCTAAGATATTAGGTTTTGTTTTCTGAAAAAATACCAAAATCAAGCTTAAAAAAAAAAAAGGTGCCAATGGGGAATTTTTTTTTCAAAAGTTTATTTTTCTGACCCCACTGAATTTAGGTTTTAAGCATAAACGCACTTAATCTTGATGCATTTTTCATAAAACAAGACTAACCCCCGATTTAAAGCATTTTCGGTTCTAATTGCGACCTTTATTTTGAAGAGTGCATTGCAAAAACAATTAATTTTTTTCTTATTTTTGTTTTTTTGTTGTTGTTATTATTATTATTATTTTTAATCAGGACACATTTAGAGATGCAGAATGACCTAAGATATTAGGTTTTGTTTTCTGAAAAAATACCAAAATCAAGCTTAAAAAAAAAAAAGGTGCCAATGGGGATTTTTTTTTTTCAAAAGTTTATTTTTCTGACCCCACTGAATTTAGGTTTTAAGCATAAACGCACTTAATCTTGATGCATTTTTCATAAAACAAGACTAACCCCCAGTTTCACAAACAAGGCTTAAGCCTATAGTCCCAGACTAAAATGCAAGTCTGAGCTGTTTCAACTGAAAGAAACTTGCACTGATTGATCTTAAAATATCAGTGCCTTTGTTTTGTCTCAAGATGCACGCCAGTAATGTTTTTTTTCTAAGGCAGGCTTATAAAAACAACTTACATGTCCTAATTGAACTATGGCTTAGTCTAAGCCCTGTCTGTGAAACCAGGCCTAAAGGTCTTAAGTCACTGTGCTTCTCCAGTAAATGCATCTTGATTAAATAAAGTACTGTACTGAGAACAAAGCAAATGGTTTTGTGCAGTGTGGAGTTGCTCTATGGCAGTCGTCTGTGGTAGAGCTGATAGAAAAGGCCGGAATAAACGGCCGGCATCTGCTCCATCGTCAGGTCGATGTTCTGGAAGCCGTTTTCCAGTCCGTACAGCAGGAGTCTGGCGACGCGACTGGTGATCGGCGTGGTCTCGCCGGTCTCGGCGAGTTCAGTCAGATCCAGCCATTCGCAGCGCAGACACTCTTGAGTGCAGAAGTCGATGCGGAAGGAGAGCGGGCTGAGTCTGCAGATCAGGTACATGTCGGACATCCCGAACGCTCCCGGATGATTGTGCTGCTGACGGATACTGAGGAGCGAACAGAACTGCGATCGCACGCCGGTTTCTTCAAAAACCTCCCGGACGGCCGTCTCGCCTGAAATAGAGGGTCCAGTTACAATAGAGAAATAAAGCAATAAAGAATTTATAACAGCTAAGGGGTGTTGTTAGACCCACTAAAACCCCCTTAGCTGTTATAAATTCACTGTAAACCACGGCTTCATGGGGCTTATTGCTTTTATAAAACAGTTAAGGCTTCACAAAATAAAACAGAGCAAATAAAGTGTAATGATGTTAATAAAACCATTATTCTTCCGCCAAACAATGTAGCTCCTCAGAAACAGTTGTGGTTGCAACAAAGTGGTTGCCGAGCAACACACAAACGTAAACAAAGGTGTATGTTACTTTGTAGAGTAATTTACAACAGCTTCAAACGTGGCTCAGCCAATCAGAATCAAGAACCGGAACTATCCGCTTTATAATTCAAAATAAACTCTCCAATCTCAGAGGCAAGTAAATACTGTCAGAACTGCACAGCAACATTAACTTAGTTGGTAGAAATTCACATTAGACTTTAAAAGAATAGTTTACCCAAGAATGAAAATTAACTGCAAATCTGATCACCCTCAGGCCATTCAAGATCAGGATGAGTTTGTTTCTTCATCAGATTTGGAGAAATGCAGCATTGCATCAGTGTCTCAGCAATGGATGCTCTGCAGTGAATGGGTGCCGTCAGAATGAGAGCTGATAAAAACAATAATATATCACAATAATCCACACCACTCCAGTCCATCAGTTAACATCTGGAGAAGACAAAAGCTGAAACAAATCCAGCATTAAGACGTTTTTAACTAAAATACATTGAGTCCATAATCCATAATAACGCTTCCTCC